CCCTGTGGTCAATTAGAGATTAATTCAACGTCGTGGTATTGAAGGGAGAACCCAAACACTTAGGGGTAGCAATTGACCCTGTCCTTCTCATCCAGATTCACCCAAATACGTTTTATTATCTTTGGCCACTGAGATCCAGTTTTAGCTAATTGCCTAGATTTCTCAGCAATTCTCTTTCTTTGCAGATGCCACTACTATAGGTTGTGCCTGTGATACAAACTATTTCCTTTTTCTGTCTAGCTGTCTATAATGACTAGACACAATGTGTCTTGCATTCCTCTTTGCATCCTTGGATGGATCAGTATCTGGGAGTCGGGCTTAGTGGATTCTTACTAGGAGTATGAGGCTCCTAGTAAGTCAGAAACCCTGGCAAGTACTTTACCTGTGTGCTTCAGTTCCTCCACCTATGAAAGGAGGATGTGAAACCAATTTTTCGGTCTTTCCTACTCTATAATTGTATACTTTTCTATCTAGTTTCTATGATGAGCATGGTTATTACTGATGTGTCACATGTCTCTTAGATTAATCAGACAAGTCCAACTTGGGACTGATGTGAACCAAGGTTTAGAATCTTTAGTTGAGAGTAAATGGATCCTGTCACTGAGGTGATATAGTCTCCAAAAGAGTAACCTTGACATAGAGAAGCATAAAATACATTAGGTTTTGGAATGAAATGTCCACTTTGGTAGATCAAAAATGGTTAAATAAGGGCAATTTCATAAGGTCCATAGAGTGAAGAGAGAGATAGGAGCACTCTGCTTTGCTCTGTTCTGTTCTTCTCTGCTCACACTTCAAGCAAGAGTCCAGTTCTCAGTCCAGTTCTTGATCCCATGCAAAGAAGAGAGTAACGGACAGGAGACACACATACTCGTCAGAGGCTGACCAAGCTGGGAGATGACTCAAACACGTTTGTGTAGGAAAGAAAAAGTGAAGGGGCTCCTTATCTTGGAGAGTATTTGAAAGATGTGTGCCAAAATGCCAGGTCAACCACCGTGGCACGCCACTGGCAGTGATGTGGAGTTAAAGCTGGTTAACAGGTTACTCAAGAAGCACAAGGACTCACAACCTGGGGTTGATTTGTTATCCGAAGGATATTTGGTAATGTTTACAAGGAATTTTGGTTTTCACAATTCTTCAAGGTCAGGGATATTGCTAAACATCCTACAATGCATAGGACATCCTCTTGCCAACAAAGAATTATCTAGGCTACCGTGTGTCCAAAGTTGAGAAATTCTAGAGAGTTTCATTAAGGTGTTTAGTTACAAAAATCCCCATGGCTAAGGGGAAAATTTAACAAGGGCCTATCAAAACAATGGTTAAAATGACCTTTTAAAAAGAATGCTAGTAGCATGCAGGATTGTAAATGGAAAAGAAACATACAACAGTAAATGATTATGAAAAAAGACCACATTACTATATTCGAGCCACATGGAAATAGTAAGAGGTTGTCTCTAATTGTTGATGTTCTTTGTGCTTTTGTTTTGATTTGCTTGTTTTTTCTCTATTTCTCAGCAGTTGTAATGTACAGGTACTGCTTTAAAATTCAGAACCAGAAAAAGAATCGAAGTTGAATTTTTAAAACCTGATATGCCCTTGAGGACTGAATGGCACATGGAAATAAGACTAGTAGTAATAGTAACTTCAATTTAGCCGGCAAGCATGTGGAGAGACAGGCTCGCTCATTCCCTCCCAGTCAGAATGTAAATTGTTATAACCCCTTTGGAAGACAATTTGGCAATATGACTGCAGAGCCTTAAAAATATTCATAGCCTATGACCCCATCATTCCAACTCTGGGAAGCTAGCCCAAGGAAATAATCAAAAATAGGCACAAAGATGTTCATTTAGGCATGATTTATAATCATCAAAAACTGGGTTTATTACGACTACAAATTGAAAACAGCTTAAGTTACCAGAAATAGGTGAATATTTAACTAAATTGTAATGAATCCATATGATGTAACATACAGCCATTAAAAGTAATATTTAAAGGGGCCGGGGATTTAGCTCAGTGGGTCGGGTGCCTGCCTCGAAAGCTCAAGGTTCCGAGTTTGATCCCTGGTACCAAAAAAAAAGTAATATTTACAATAACTGCTAATGTGGAAGAAATCTAAAATACACAACTAATTGTAAAAAATAAAATCCCAAAATACATTTTAAGAAAGGATAGCCCCCAAAAATGTAAGTATCCAAAGGATTTCCAAATATGTTTGGAAATCTATATATTAAAATGTTAAAAGAATGTAAGCATCTTTAGGATGTAAGATGAGAGTGGTTTTTATTTTTTTCCTTCTTTATATTTTATGTTCTGTCCTAACCGCATAAAATGAAAAGTATACTTCTTATAATGAGACAAAAGGAACGGGGAGACTTATCAAATGCCAAATCTGAGTCCAATATAGTTGTCCTGTTAGGAATATCATCTTATTTAATGTAAAAATCGCTTTGATGAGGGGAACTATTTCACCCACTTTATTGATGATAAAACTGGGCCTGATACTCATTGTTTTCTCCTGAGGGTTCCTTGAGCTTCCAAATCTGGTGAAGTTAGTCTTTCTCTGAATTCCCATTGCTTTCTTCACCTTTGATATATAAATAGTACCTAGCATGTGACACGAGGTATTTGTGAACCAGCTGAGTGGTTAAAGAAATGAATAACTTGCCATGTTGGTCTATCCTCAAAGTCAGCATCATTACCGCAGGCTCCAGAAAGACGATGAAAACACCGAAGTTCTTACCTGGGCACCTGTCCTTATTACAGGACTCATTGTCCAGACAGAGTTGCACCTGGCCTGAAGTTATACATCAATCCAGCTATAAAGGCATAAATGTCTTCAAAGAACAACACAGATTTTATTCTGGGGATCAGGAGCATTTTCCCGACACTTAACACAGCAGTTTGTAATGATTCTTGTTCCTCCTTCCCTTTAAAATTTCACTTTCGTTTACTTAGCAGGGCATTGCTAATCTGGAATAAGGGAGTAGGTGAAGCTCCCTATTTGTAAAGAGGACAACAGGTTAATGAAAAGAAGCAGAAGTATGTGCAGGTGATAGTGTTTCTGCAAGGCTCTGTTAAATTGTGATGATTTAAGGGCAAACCTTGGCTGGCTGGTCATAATAAGGGCCACATTATAGAGGGGATTTACGTGGCAATTACCATGGTTTTTGCTGGTAGGTTGCAGTGTTTTAGAGCTCCCTGGATACTTTAGATTAATGTCTGAATCAGTAGTGTTATTGTTGCAAGATCCTGGTGTAATGGGAGCCATTTGAGGCAGGCATTTTTTATCCCTTATCAGAACATAAAATATCCCATAATCTGTAAAAACATCAATGACTGTGGCTTATAACTGGTTTCAAAATAGCTTAAACATTACACTGATTAGTTTTTTTTCTTTTGCAGCAAGAATGCATAAATCAGTGCAGACCTACTTTTGCCCACCCAGGTAATATGATTAAAAAGAATTAGAAGTGCTCAGTGCCTGAGATGAGGAACTGAAAGCTCTACCCCATAGCAAGGCAATCATTATAGAGAATCTGCTCTATAAATGGCATGGTGTTGGGTCAGTTCCACAGTTGAGGATGTTGCTTAGTCACCAGAGAAGACGCACCACACTTGTCCTTTACTTCGCACACTGGGAATGGAATGGAACCTGGGGGAAGGGACAAATTGAGCGCTAAGCATATGCCTCACCAAGATTAGTGGGATGAACCAGCAAAATTCAGGAATCACAAAGGGAAAGCACAGGGAGCACTGATTGATTTCTCTTCTCTCGTAGTATGTCTCCTCAAGCCCAGGTATCCACGCAAAAAAATGGGCAGTGAAGATGGTACGAAGGCCAAGAGTGTGACCACAATGAGTCATGCTACTGATAAACCACTCTGAAAACAAAATCATCTGATCAGTGAGATCAATGCCTCAATTCACCATCCCCAGAAACCTCACAGATGATATCTTAACCCCACCTCAACAGAGACCCAATGAGGAGTGGGATACAGAAAAAAATGATTGCCTCAAATTCCAAATGATTAAACAGAACACTGAAAAATACCATTGAAACAAGAAATCACTGTCTTTTGACAATGGGCTGTCTTTATAGACTGATATGATATCCATCCAGCAACCGTAAGTGTCTGAATCCTACCTTTATCCATTAGGACACCTTCCTATGAACTCCCTGGGAACAAGGAAAATTATATGTGATAGATACATAGAGGTAGATAGATACATAGTTACATAGATAGATAGACTGACTTACTGACTGACTTAATCACTTTCTGGTCACCGGGCCAAAATACCAAACACCCACAACTTAAAGGAGAGGTTTATTCTGGCTCACAGTTTCAGTCCACGGTTGGCAGGCTCCAAGGCAGGAAGAGAGAAGGGAGGAGCACAGGAAAGAACACACCTCCTTAGGTCACACCACCGGTCACCCATCTCCAACAACATGTTCAGCTATTGACATTTGCCTGTTGAACTCATCAATGGGTCAAGCACTCCCGTGGTTCAGTAACCTTCCACACACATGAGAATTTTCAGGGACATTTTAGATCTAAACACACACTTAGAGATAGACAGACAGATAGATCGGAGATATGCTAAATTGTTAGTCCAGAACCCTAATGACTCTCTTGGAAAATTCCTTTTGACCTGGACAGAGTCCTCCCAAAATATGCTCAAATTAAAGCAGAGGACAGCTCTGCTCCTCTATTTTCCCCAGATATTGGGCTTCTCCATTGTAAGGCAATACCTATAATTATTTAGAAGTACCCAGACTTGAATTCCCAAGTCAACTGTTCTCATTTTTATCAAAGGGAAGAAAATAAGAGGAGTAGAAGAAAAGAAGAGAGGAATTCAGCTTCTGCTAGAAGCCAATATCACATATCTAGAAGCACAAAAGCCAAGATATATACCTGATTCCACAATCTCTCTCTCTCTCTCTCTCTCTCTCTCTCTCTCTCTCTCTCTCCCCCTGCCCCCACCTGCCCTGCCTCATTTATTAATGAGACATCTGTGGAAACACATCCACCTTGTTAAGCATCATGTTTAACAAGGAAACAGGGGTACATCCTTGGGCTTTTCAGATGAAAAGGCAGGAATGACCGGAAGGATATGAAGATTATTACCACATCACCATGTTATCAGAGCAAGGCAAAGAGCAGCAAAGCATATTGAATGCTGAAGTTTCATTTTCTACAAAGGTGAGAATTGAAGTCAGGATGGGGTTTGGGGCAAGGTTATAAAGTCAGCCAAGAAATGAGTCTGCATCTATATGTGAGCAGTGATATGTGTAAGCTTCCATGCACAAAACCACACGTATCCACGCATTATCCTCTTGGCCACCATTCCTTGTACATAGAGAAATATAAAAAACAAGAGTTTGGGTTTTGGAATCAGATAGTCTTGTGTGAGTTCCACAAGTGCTTGCCAGGTAGTTGACTTTGAACCACCTGTTTACCTTTCTGGAAAACTAATACTACCCGGGCTGCAACTAGGGCAACTCTGAACATATGGAGAGCGTCCAAGGTCTGGGTGTGGCTAGCACAGGGTCTGGTATGACTGTTTTCTAATAAGTGGTTGCTTTCTTTCTCCTGTGTCCTTTTTGATAGCAGACCCAGAGGGCTTTCTTCTTGGAATTGACATAAAACAGTAAAAGGAACAAAATCAGGGAGCAGAAAAGAAAAAAGAATAAGATGAGCAATAAACTAAATTTTCAAGTGAATTTGATCCATACTTCTTCAACATAGGAACAGGTCCCTTTTGCTTGGTTTCTAGCCCTCTCTTCATCAACGAGAGTAGTCAGCACTCTTCAGATGAAGCATATCAGACCCCCAAGTAAGATAGATTCAAGTGGCAACACCATTAATCATCAGGCTCCACTGTAAGCTGGCAGCATGTCAGCATTTCTGCAAGTTCAGTCGCCATTTTGCTGGGTGGAAAGGGAAGTTTTGAAAACTATCAGCCCTCTCTGATGTCTTCAAGTAGTAATTACCAAAGCCATTTAGTCACTTGCTAGCTGTCAGTTATTTTTGTTTGTTTTTATCATTAAACATCCAGATAAGAAAAAAGTTTCTTTGTTGGTATTTGGCCTTTAGAACTCCCTGGTGGGAATGATTAGCCTGGCCCTATTTTAGAGGTGAGAGGGCTGAGGTCAAGAGAAGACCATCCTGTACCCTGAAAGATACTGTACTGGGATCCGAACTCCTCTGATGACAGACAGTCCTATTGTCTATTACATTTTCCTGCTTCCCAGAGATACCAGCAAGTCACAGCGGCCCAGGGAAGTGCTCTGCTCTTTTCTCATCAGTACTACCACTGGGTAGCAGCCTTCAGTCAAAAATGAGGCTGGACCTTGAGCTTCATGGCTGGAGGTCCACATTCCTAACATGGATTCATTAAGAAGCACCCAGATTTCACAAGAGGAAATGATGAGGCATTTTTCTGAGGTGTTGAAATTCTTCTCTTTGTCAGTTAACCACCCTCACACACACACACACATACACACATGCACAAGTGTTCTGAAAATTCCTCAAAGGTAAATGGTAATCTCTCTCAAAGTTGTGATACAGTCCCAAAAGGAAATAAAACTTATATACTGAGGGCCCCAGTGATTCTACTTTCACTCACATTAACTGCAAATCTTTGCCACGGTTTTCCTTACTAATTAGTTAAATGCTTAAGCTCCTGAGTCATGAGCTGTCTACTGGTCACAGCTTGTTCTAGCTTTTCAAAAGGAACTTCCAAGGAATTAGGCCCTCCGAAGATCCCACATTCATGTAATGACAGCAAGCCAAAGATGGGATCAATCATTGACAGGTGTGGATGAGCAAGAGCCCTGAGACTCCCTAGTGTTTAGGCAGGACCTTCCAGTGTGCTGCCAGGAAGCACAGGAGAGGACTCTGATCATTCACTCATAGACGCACACTTCTCCTCTCCAAAAGCCCAGATTTCACACTGCTCTGTCCTCTGTATTCAGAAGCGCACCTGTGTATGTCTTGATGCTTGAGAAGGACACAAATGTCTCTCCAGAAGTGACAGGCCCAGAAGAGAACAAAAGTTGGTCAAAGCCTTATGGTTCAAGAGAATCAACCACACATGACATGGCTTTAGTCAAAATCATGTGCAAGTGAAAATGTTGCCTCCTCCAGAAAAGTTATACCTTCACTGTGCATTATTTCTTTCTATGACACTCAGGCTGTCATGGATACATCATTAATTACTGTTATGTAAGCATCAGGACAAAAGCTATACATAGGATTCGCTAGCTATAAACATTGGATCTAACTACATATAATGAATGTCTGACCTTCCATGTATTCACCTCAAAAACTTTCCCAAAGTTTACCTCCACATGACTCAGCAGCATTATAGCTACTAAATACTCACTATTTCCAAGCAGTGATAGTCTCTTATATTTCTCCAGCTAACATTCTTCATTTTTCCCTTTCTACCAGTTAGCTTCCTAAAAATCAAACCTGATTACTTTATCTATACACACACGGCCCCACATACACCTCCCATTAATCCAGTTCTCCATGTCTGCATGTATAATTTCAATCACTGTGGGCCCAAAAAGAGAAAGAATAGCTTCACTCAAGTAACAAATTTTACTGCGCTGTTATAGCTTACTGCCTATCTCAACTTTAAACTGTAAATTTCTAGAAGTCAGACAATGTTTTGTAATTAGTCCTGAATTCTCAGCACCTACCATAATACATATAATGTAAGAGTTGTTTAGGACATTTTTAGAATACATAGTAAGTGCATTGAATGGCTGGGCATTTGATGGGCTATGTTGATAGTCCTCAAAGTAACCATGTTAGGTTACCCTGCATTACCCTAAGCCCTATTATTGCTTTGAAAACACCAACTCCTCCCCTAGTATAATGATCTAGCAAAGACAACAGAGTCCTAGTGAGCAGCAAACAGAGTGTGTTGGCTCCAAGACTCATTGGCATCTCATACTTGGTCAGAATAGTAGAGGTATGCTAAGAACTGTAGAACATCATGGCTGAAGGCACTGCTGTACCAGTCAGTCTACTTGAGAGACAACAGAACTGAACCAAAAGGGAAAGAATCAGAAACATGAACAAAGACAACCAATTAATGAGCAGCCACAGACAGCAGTTGCAACTGCTCCAGTTTTTGGAAGATGGGAGTGTCTGTGTAAGCTGCTACATTTTCCCTACTTGCCCCAGACCCTGGGACAGGCCTGAGCCAGTGGACTGCAGGCTCCTTTTGGACCAAAGCAGATTTGAAGGCTACTTTGATCCTTGGCGGGCCTCTCTGTGCTTGTGAGCACTGACATTTTTGTTAAAGGTGACTAAGAGGGAAGATTTGCATTGGTTAGAAATTAGTCAAATGGCATTTCCTTAGGCTTTGCTTTCATTTCTCAGGGAAAGGTTGAAGTACACAAAGCAGTTGGTTTTCCTGTCAGATTATTTCATTCAAAATCTGTAGTTATTGCATAGTTTCCTGAAGCCTAGGGCAACAGAACTTGATAATGAAGGACACCCAGAACACAAAAGTGTACCTGGCAGGCACTGAATATGGGAGATTAGGAGAATTCATTGCAAGGCCCGAATCTTGATTTTCTTCCTTGTAAAATAAGACTTAGACTGGGTGCACTCGGCCCCCTTCCTGTTCAAGGCTCTCAAAGTCTCCAAGTCCACCACACACTGTCTTCATTTGAGCACATCTCTCATGCTTCCTGTGGGCTTAGCCTTAAAGACCCAATGATAACCAGGTGGCCCTTGTTTCTGCCTCCATGGAGCTTTGTTCTAGTGAACAACAGAGATGATAAACTACTGGCAAACAACACTGTTGACATGACTGCAGTGAGAAACATGAGGATCTGCAGTGTGAGTTATGCATAAAGGGCACTCCATGGGGTGGTAGGAGATCTCTATTAGATTGCAGGTCAGAATGTCTTCTCTTCCAAGAGGGTTTCTATGCTAGATGTTAAAGGATTAAAAATGCTAGCCATGAAGGTGCCACATTCCAGTCAAGGAGAGGAGTGAACAAGAGACTAATGAGGGCCAAGTTTAACCTGTTTGGGAAACTAAATGAGAGAAGACAGATAGCAGCACAGTCACTGGGGCTAAGAGGAGGCATGAAACGAGAAGGAAAGAAGGCTAGGGACTGAGGGGCTGAAATCGAGATTTCAGTACAAGAGAGCTCATTAAGTAGGACAGTAACCTAACGTGATTTACATTTTAATTCCACTGTTCTCAGTGACTATTTAATGAATAATGTGAATGGGGCCAGCATAGAAGTTGGGAGCTGATTTAAGAGGCTACTGAAGGAGGCCTGGTAAGATATTCTGGTGGCCAGGTTGGGATGGACAGAGGTAGATGCATTTGAGCACTACTGTGGAGAAGCACTGGCAAGCCACCTTCACGGCCAGGTACTCAGGTAACCAGGGAGCAAGGCTCTGATAGATGCTGAGTAGCACACGGGCACCAAAACACAGGGGGCGGGGCCCCACACCACAGCCCTTGGGAGCTGACAGGTCCTGTGATTTGTAACTGGACTCAGATGAGCTAGTTACAATAGCATGGGTTCTTCTCTTTCTTTTTCTTCTTTCACTACACAGAGACCTCCAGGAGTGAGGAAGAAGAAGGAATGTTTTCACAGAGGAGTGAGCCCAAGAGTGGGGTTCTGCAGGATAAGTTCTACCCTAACAATCAGAGAAGATGGGAAACTCTTGAAACAGTGAAAGTAGAGCTGGTGTGGCATGACAAATGCATGCTGCAGATCAGGATTCATGAGCAATGCTGGACTAGGGTCAATGCAGAGAGTGTCGGGAAGATAAGGCTGGGATGTAAGCTGAAGCCTTGCTGGGGAAGGTTTGGGCCCTTCAGAGGGTTTGGGCTCATTGAAACTAGCAGAGGAGTACGATTAGTTTTACAATTAAAAAAAAAATTCTGGGGATGAGAACCATTAAGATGTAGGATTAGCCTAATCACAGAATGATTTGAAACTGGGGTGGGTTTATTGCTTACAACTCCTGGTATTGAGCATGGGTCAGGCAGCATTTGACACCTCTTCCGAATGTGTACTCTGAATTACCTGAACAATGAAACAAGAGGGTAACATTAACATCAAATACGCGTAGAGCCCTTTGTGCCTGGTGCTGTTTGGAGCACTTTATGTGTACTAACTCATTTGGTCCTGACAGCTCTGGTTGGGTAGGTTTCAGAGCAGTGATTTGGACTCAGCTGCTTGAGGTCATCATCATCCATGCACTAACTTACAGCATCTCTATGCCACTAGGCAAACGGAAGATGAAAATAATACTTTCACTCTAGGAAACACCACTTTGGAGAATGGGCTTCTACCTTCAAGCAGACTTCCCAATCCTCACCTCTGAAGCAGACTGGAATACCCATCAGGCCTAGGGAATGATGGGAATTTCGAGGCTTCAGCCAGAACCACTTCATAAAACTTGCTGCATGGCCAAGAACGGAGAATACATGTGCCCTGTGAGCAGGCCGTGTCAGGGCAGCAGGGAAAGAGGCTGACACAACTAGGTTCTATATGAATGAGTTTTTCTTCCAAACTCACAAGCCATTAGGCACTTCTTTTGTAGGGAGAAATGTGTGGGGTAGGAGAGAAGATGGGAATGTTGGAGGGCATGGTGCAATGCTGAGCTTCTTCCACATGGAAGGAAACACCAGGAGCAGAGGAGAAAGTTCTCCCTCACATACCTGCCATCTAGCAAGGCTGGTTCTTACAAATGTTGTCTTACAGATGCTTTATGGGGTGATGCAATAAAGTACAGTAGGTTGGCGCTAAAATTACACTGAAGAAAAATAAACATTATATTATTATCAATGCAGAAATATTTGTCAGCAATAACAGTACTAGTGGTAGTATTATTACTAGCCACCATTAAAATATTCATAATCTTTCATTTTATTAAAGTATAAATTTTCCACTTAACCAAGACTGTCTAATTTCCAGTAAACACATTTGTCATTTCTGTTGTGAATGTTTATAAAATTGTGAGGTAATAATGGAAATAAGAATAATTCAGACCATGCAAGCCATAGACTTATAAAAAATTTCAGAATCAAAAAATTCCAAAGATGCCTTCCCAATGCCCCGATGGTCTGTGTAATCACTGTCACACTGTTAGCAGTTGCAGTCTTCCGTAACTGAGAAGATGAATCCAAATAGGACACATTTCTGTACCAAAGCATGGAGACCTAGAAACTAAAATGGATCTTCCACAAAAGCAAATGTACTAACAGAGTCAAAACACTAAGATAGTTCCCAAAGTTCAATTAAAAAATTAAATTTGGGAAAAATAGATGGCTGAGAGTTAGGACCATGAGGACTACAGAATATTAGCATATAGTTACACGATCATTTGAGATTTAAAAAATGAAAGTTTACATAGAAAAAAATTATAAAATAATGGCTATCATTAGAAAAAAAGCTCTTTGTGTGTAGCTTTCCTTGTTGAGAAAAGAAATAACAACAGCCATGTACCAGCTAAGCCTGCTTACAGTTGTGAAAAATGCCAATAAGCTGCATATTTGGATCTTGTGCTTGCTGTTTCATAGGACATCATTGAAAAGAAGTGGAGAAAGAGGCAGGGACCTATTGCAGGTGGATGCAAAATGGTGATGAGGCAGGTAAGTTGCTCTAAAACATCTCTGAATTTCTTTCACCTTGAGTGTAGCAGTATATGATATATCCCTTCTGGAAGTCAACTCAGACCAATATCAACCCCCTGTAATATGACTTCAGAAAAAAAAATACACAGTGGTGTGGTTATGCAAATTGTCCTCTCAGTCCTCTGCTATCCACAGTAGCCTTCAGGAGGGTTAATTGCCAGTATCTACAGCATTAGTTATTATAGAATGAAGTTTTCTGCCACACATATAGCTACTTATCTTAATGATCCCTCAGCATACAGGTAGGTAAAGGACAGAAAACTCTTTTGTTTCCTATTTTGAATATTAGTTTAATATAATTAAATAAATTAATATACCTATGACTGGCCAATGTCAATTTCTCCCAACCAAAGAGAACATAACGTATACATTTGTTTAGAGTCTGTAATATTATTTTCAATATAGTCTATTCATGCTGTGTGTCCAACAAACTGAAAAGATTAAGATAGAAATTTCCAATACAATAATCTAAACATGCTCTTCACATACAATATAAAATATTAGACCCTAAGGGAACTTCAGAGCTTTCACCTTTATAGTTCAAATCCTAATTCTGCCACATTCTCTCATGAAGATCAGAATGTTATTGAAAAAGAATGCAGAAAGTAACCTATAGATCCACACTAAACAAGGGAAATTAATGTACAAAGATAAATAAATCTTGGTGTCATAAATCCAACCATTTGGACTAGAAAACTGGTGGTCATGGGATACAGCCTTAAAAGAGATCCTTAATCCTAATTAATATTGCTTAGAAAATGATTAGAAATAGAGAGGCCTTCCAAGTTGTAATTATAATGTTCTTCTCTAAGCCATTGTCTACCACAAGGTATTTGGCTCAAGTAATTGACAAATGCTCCTTGGGTTCTTATTGCTGAGGGAATAGGATGACAGGAGAGGACGCGTCATGGAACTGTGCAGGAAGCACTTTCCCGTGATGCCTTGTATTTATTCTTCAAATGGACTATGCATTGGATCTAATATTCCTTGACAAAGAAAGGTCAAAAATAATAATGCAGTGGCACGAGGCAGAGGCTACAGATCTGAGAAACAGAAAGTGGAGAGACAAAAAGATGTAGTCATGATGACTTGCCACTCTGGCTGTCTCAAGACGGTCCTGGCTCTAGCACTGCAATTCTGTTACCAGACTCCCCTCAGCTCTGGGTTACCTTAGAGAGGTACCAACACCTATCCAGCACAGACACTGCACTTCAGAGAAACAAGTGTTGGGCACAGAAAAGGACAGAGTCCAAAGGACACGGTCCCCTTTGTCAGGCTAGTGATTGTTTAGTAAGGAAAATCCGATGACCAAACAGAGCCCATTACATGGACATGGTCTACACACAGTGTCCCCATGGTTAGCCTTGGAGGCTGAAATGATAACGACTGATCCTCGGAGCTGTACCATCCTCTGCTCAAGTGGATGTGGAAGATGGCTCAGAGCACTTCCCCTGCTGCAGTGGTAATCCTCAGGCTGCTCAAGTCCCAGCTCTGGACCAGCACTTCTCCAACTCTGCTCTTCCCTGAGAACACAGTGGCTAGGGTAAAGCAGACATTTTGCATTTCTAACAGTCTCCTACCTTATGCTCACAGACCACATTGAGAGCAGAAAGCCTGCTCATTCAAGCAACCAACCAGCGTGGGAGGAAACCAGGTGAGATCTATTTGGCATAGCTGACCTGGAGTAGCAATACCTACCTCATGGGGCTGCTCTATGGATTTACTGAAATAAGCTACAGGCAGTTCCTAGCACAATGCCTGACATACACTTTCCATTTCTAATAATTCTTAACTAATTGTTTTATAAGATAAATTGATATTAAGACCTGGGACGACCTGGCTTGTAGAAGTCAATGGGAAAGATGGACTGCTTAGCTGAGGAAGCAAGACTCTTGCACAGCAGAATTCAAGGTAGTCTGCAACAGCAAAGGGCCTTCTCACTCGCCTGTTCCGTGGAAACACATGGACAGAGTGCAACAGATGAATGCTGTTCTCTCTCCTCAGCCATCAACTACATCTGAATCATGGGCCATCAGACCTGGCATTTACAGAGTATAAAACATTCCCGGGTAATTCTAAAGCACAATCCAGTTTGAGAACCACAGGCAAAAGGGAACCAGCTCTCCCTGAACTCTGAAGGTGGATCTCAGCTTTGCTTTGAAAAACTTTCTTTGCCTCATTTTCTGAATTTGCAAAATAAAGATGATAGAAGTAACAGTTATATCTACCTCAAATGGCTAAATAAGTCAATTTATATAAAGCCCTCAAAACATTTTAATTTATGACCATGATGTGTGTTTTTTGCCTGTACTTGAATGAGTAGGTGGCAAAAGAATACTACAATGAAGATCTGGTACCTATACAATAGCTGGTACCTATATAATTCTCTCTTACAGTCTGCTTCTATCCGGGATACTATACCTTACACAAGCATTATTTTAAGCAATATGATATGACCACTGAACATATGTCTATAAGCATATACTAAAGTCAGGCATGAATGCTCTAGGAAAGGTCAAGGTATATGATAAAAAGACCCAAATATGATTTGTGGTTCTACCATTTTCTAAATATGTGACCTTGGCATGTTATTTTATCTATCTTCAGCCTATTTCCCTGCCAATGGAGATGGTGCTAACACCTGTCATTTAAAGGGTTATTTCAAAGAATTAATGAGCTAATAAATGTTAAGAATCTAGCACAGCATCTGCAACTGAACAGGGGTCTAATAAAGGCATTCCTCTGCCTCACCTAAGTGTTATGGGGATACAAGGATAAAGAAGATACTCAGCCCAGTTTCTGTAGTTTACTTGAGAAGATGGGAGACATAGCGTGCACACTATTGCTTCCTCTTTGAAATGTGTGCATTAGAGACATAGAATGATAAGGAACTAGAGTCTTTTTATAGGAAGTTTATCATGTTTAGGTGCTTGGTTCCTTGATATGGCAAGCCTGGGACATCATACTTCTCTGTGCATAGTCACGGTTTTGATTTTGGGGTGTTTTTATATTTGTTACAGTTTTTGTAGTAGATGTGAGTTGGCAGATGTTTAAAGTAGTAGGTGTGCCTTCCTTTTGATGACTCTGAGAATACGAGTCCTTGAGGGCTTGGATGCCATCATTCTAAGGTCATATTCACTAATTACCGTGTCGTTCATGAGCATTACACAATGTCCTTCCTAACTGCCTAAGCGATCATTCCACAGGAAGCAGAGGGGTTTGTGGGAAAAATAACAGCACATCCACAAGAGTCCTGTTCAATGCCATTCAACAAGGGCCCAGAGTGACTGGGGAGCTCACGGGGATGTCAGGAGAGACCCTGTAATCCCTGCAGAACTTGGAGGTACTCAACCTACTAGTTTCCTGATAAATCGATGGTGGTGATCTGAGGTTAATAATCATGGTCCATGAAATAATATTGCTGACTTGGGACTCAGAAGGTGGTTGCATTTACATTTACAACCTTGACTAGATGCTTAATTGCATTTATATCACATTTAACATTTAAATGACGTGCTGATTTACAGAGAATATTTCCATCACCATCTCATTTAATTCACACATCGTTCTGTGTAACATTATCAACCCATTTTACAGATGAGAAAGTCGATGATGAGAGTTTGTAAGTAATCAAGGCACAGATAGTCACAGCAGCACCATGTGTGAATTCTAGCTATCCTTTGAATCCTAATAGTATATTTTTTCCACTAACAGGTGGCCAGCTGGGGTAATTATTACCTGCCTATCCCTCGATGTCTTCATTTCTTTCCCTTGCTTACCTTGAAGTCATAATAGGATAAAAATATTAGTTAATTATGGAAAAGAGTTTGAAAAGCACAAAGTCTTCCACGTACCTAGATAATTATTAGGATGTCCCATAAATGTGCATGTGGACAAGGGTGAGGTGCAGGTACAAGTAAACCCACCAAGCTCACTGGAGCCCATAAGCCAGGGACTCTGGAGTTCTAATTACTTTTTGGTGAACATGCTGCATTTCTCAAAGCCTCCCAGAATAGTTTGTCTCCACTTGCCAATCTTTGATGCCTCTTGGGCTGAGTCCAAATTTGGAAATTTTCATATGAATATCATTTTTTTAAATTTCCAGAAGTTCAGGGCATAAAGAACTCTTTCATACAGAATAGAAACAAAGTTTACAGTGGAACTCACATCACAGACCAGCTATGGCTCTGCTCCCCAGTTTATGTGCCAAGGCTGGGTACATAGAGGACAGAGCAGCCTTCCAGGGCAGACAGTCTTGTGTTCAGGGCTGCTCCTGCTCACTGCATGGGAATGTCCTGGGCTTGCAAAGAACCATGAGTGCTGTCAGGAACTTGATGCCATTAGACCTTAGAGTGCAGAAGAGTGACTTTTCCCATCATCCCTAAGAGGCATGGGCTACTTCACAAGATTCTTCTAAGCTGTCAGAACAATTCATCCTGAAATTTAGAGCTGTGAAGAATGTGGGGCAAGTGGATCTTTCACCAGCTGGGTCTCGCACCCAGGTGGACTTCATTGGAAGGGCCATGAGCTATTGACCATCTCTTTCTTTTAGTGTTTCTATATGGATTAGAAAGAAGTAACTTCAAGCTGTAGTATGGATTAGAAACTGCTGGTACCAAGCATTTAAGAGGAAGCCTTCCCTTTGCTGCCCAGTCTCCTCCCACTCATGCTCCAGATGCATTGAACTACCTACCAAGGCCCAAATATGTCCCACACTCTGTTGTCCCTGCATGCTTTTGACTGAAAGGCCCTTTCTCGATTCCTCTCTCTCATTGTTCCATTCTGAGGCCTTTTTATGTTAAGGATACAGATTGGGCTCTTCCTGATCCTCCTCCAATTTCTCTGACTAAAGTGTTCTTTACTCCCAGCACATACCATTCTTGCTTGCATCTAACCACCCATCTCCTCATTTTTTAATCTATATTCACTTGCATTCAACCAGTTGCAAACTTTTCAACCATTCTGCTTGCCACTGTTTAAATAAAGACTAACATCCGTGGAAGCATTGGCTGTCTTAAAAACAATAGAAAAGGGTTAGTGACTAAATGCCTTTGACATGCCAGGTGCTTTGCTTGGTATTTCAAGTGCTTTTAGTCATCACGTCATCCTGAATATGCCATGCAACAAATATTATTACCATTATCATCATTTTGTAAGTCAAAAAGCCAATTCTCAGAGAAGCTAAATAATTCAGGTGAATAGTCTCAAGATCACACCATGAGTGAGAATTTCAGAGAGGAATTTCAGGTCAGTCTGACTCCAAATCCCAAGTCACCTCTGTATCATCAGGCTGCTCCTCTTACTTTTAAGTGACATCACTGGTTTCATGTTTTCAGATTTCTTTTTTGTTTGAATCAGCTAGGTACCAGATTCACTGTCAAATTTTCTTGAACAAGGACCTCTGCGTCCTATGATGTGCTATTCAAATCCTCCTTCAAAACCAAAGCACTAATTTCTCAAGCTGCTGGAAGTGTTGGCTACTGATTAATTGGTCTTAAGAAACCAGGGGTGTTCAGGCTTCCACCAGAGGCCTGCCATTCCATCAGTGAGTGCCTGCAGACCCTGGGGAGCTGTGTTGCCCAGATATGTGAGGCTGCAGGTGGATCCCAGTCGGGGATCTGCCCCTACCCCAGAGGCTCCTGTGCACCTGCCCAGGCCTGGGGCCTGCCCAGAAATGAGCTGCATAGGTGCATAGACTGCAGCTGGAGGCCTGCCCTGGAAAAGGCACATGGTCCTCAGACAGAGGCTCACCATACCATCGGCCACAGCCAGGGAACCACCTGGAGAAGAGCTGTACAGGCACACAGGCAATACCCAGAGACTCACCCCGATACCACTGGTAAGTATGTAGTGACCCTCGCCAAAACCTGAGCAGACAAAAGGAACTGGGGTACACAGCCTCCAGCCAAAGCCCCTCCCAGACAACAGCTACATAGGGGCCCCAGTGAGAGGCACACCTAGATATTATCCCAAGTGTGCACAGGCCCCAGCCAGAAGCCTACCCAGACAACAGGTCAGCTCACGGATCCAGAAGGCCACCTGCCTGAACCCAGGAGCAGCAGAGTAAAGGTTATTTGGTGGTTTGTTAAGAATTGAAGATCACTGAGTGAACAAAAAATTGCCTCAACAAAGACACAGCAGGCTGCATCTGTTGAAGTGAGGAGACAAGTAAATAAGCCCCAAAATCAGACTCCCAGATCACCTAAGGGAACCCCAAAGGGCAATGAGATGGAACAATCTGATACTCAACCACCTGGACTCCCTGACCTGGAAAAAGTGAAATCAGAAATAATTTTTCAGATAACAGCAGAGATTATGCCCATAGTGCAAGACATGATGAATAAATCTAGAGTGGACACAAATGAAAAAATAGAGGAGCTGAGGAACATGATGGAAACCCAACATAAGAAACAAATGGAATCCATAAAACACATGCAAACAGATTTCTAGGAGATTAAAAAATCCAATGACAGTTTAGGCAGCAGAATGAGCCAGTGCGAGGATAGAATTTCAGATATAGAAGATAGGATTGCAATTAGTGACCAGGAAAAGAAAAATTTCTTTAAAATACTAAGGGACCATGAGAAATCAATCCAGCAGCTGCTAGATGATGCAAAGAAGAATAACAGACTGATTGGAGTCAATGAA